AGATCCTTATAAACTTTACAAAAGGTAAAATAACACGCTGGATTTTTTTTTGGCTTTGAACTTTTGGCAGGGGACTGATCTCAAATGTCTGGGACATACTTTGGTTTAATGAATTTAATGAAACAAATTAATTTTTGGTACTTTTTATTGAAGAAGATTGTTAGTTAACTAATTAAATTTATAAACATTATCGACCTAATTATATATTATGGACGAATAACTTAAAATTTAATCTTAAAGTTTTAATTTTGGGAATGAGACAGCCCAGGGGACTGTTATTGTCGGTGGTTTACCAATTTATAGCAAAAAAACCAAAATTTATTTCATTTTAGTTTTCAATGCTCCAAATAGAAATGTTTTTTTACTTTTGTAATAAATTTTTTTTAGTAACAAAATAACAATTTTTCTAATAAAAAAATCCCTGGGACAGCAAAAAACATCCTTACAGAGAATCACCCATATTTCTTGGTTATTGAAACAAATGATTTTTGCAATATTTCCCAAGAAACTAATCTAGAAAGAAGAACATAAGGGGCCATACATTAATTACGTAAGGGTATTGAGGGGGAGGGGGGGTTAAGAAAATCTCTACATGTTCTTACGTTGGGGGGAGGGAGGGTAAAATTCATTCTTACGTAATATTTCGTGAATCAAAATTCAAGATTAAAAATCTTTCCATTTCGGATTCCAAATTGTTTTCTTAATTTTAAAGTGTACAGTTGAATTTTTATTTTATTTAAATAATTTTTGTTGCTTATTGAAAAAAGTAAAAAATAACTTATTAAAATTTTATATGTTTTTATTATTATCCATGTTTGATTCTATAGAAAAAATTATAGTAAATTTTTCCGCGTATTATCATATTTTTATTATTTAAAAAATAAAAAAACATTTTCATCTACCGTTACATCTGATGAGCTACCAATTGTGTCTGATTGGATGACAGGGATTAAAAGTCCGTTTAGTCCGGATGAAGATTAATAATTTTAATTGATCTAGCTTTAACTATTTAATTTATATTTTTGAGACTAATTTAAAACTAGTCAAATATTATTTTATAAACAATATTATGAGTTTGTAGTTTTATTGATTTATGTTTGCTAGTATTATTTAAATTATTCCTTGTTAAAAAATAAAAATTATGGATCCACATTGAACTGTAAGTTTTAGTGAAACTGATCCTTTTCTAACATAAAAGTTTATTATTTAGAAGATCAAGATAGAATCTTACGTAAGAAAGGGGAAGGGGGGGGGGGGGTCAAAATTGACCAAAATTGTCCTTACGTAATTAATGAATGGCCCCTAAGCTTGTTAATACTTAGTAATATATTGAAATTCATACTCAGTAAGTGGTGTGTTATTTTGTAAAAATTAATTTTTTACAATAGAAAATTTTCACAAAAAAATAATTTTTTTTAATTTTTGCAAATTTTTTCAATAGTAAGAAAAATAATTTTTCATATTATATTTTAATTTCCAAGTCTGGAAAAAAAATTAAATGAAAAAATACGATGTATTTTTTTAAAGCACCTTAAAATTTCCATTAATAATAAAACAATTAATCTATTTATTTTATTCAGGTATACAAATCCCATCATTGAAGTAAATGACACTCAGCCACATCCGTGCAGAGATGTCGTTACTGAAATATGGCCAGTGCTGTCGAAGGTGTTCAACAAGTACGCGGCAGACTCGAGGATTATGGAGCGATGCTGTCGATGCGTCAGACACGCTGTTAGATGTATCAGGAAGAACGCGGTCCATCTTCTGGAGGACATTGTTAAATTGATAGTCGGGCTTTATGCGACGCATCAACACAGTTGTTTTCTGTACCTCGGGTCAATATTAGTCGATGAGTACAGTACCGATCACGAGTGTGCTGCAGGGCTGGTTCAGATGCTTGAAGCTTTTATCGGGCCTACTTTTACCTTATTACAAGAACCTAATGGGTTGAAAAATCACCCGGATACAGTTGATGATCTTTTTAGATTGTGTTCAAGGTAATTTTTTTTAATTTTTACATCTAGACTAATTTTTTTTTTTTTTTTACTTTAATTATTACTTTTAATGAGAAGTTATTTTATTAATGAGATGTTATTTTATTGTAGATTTATGCAGCGAGCGCCGATTGCATTTTTACACTCAGCTCCTAAAAATAGTATAATGGATTGCGCAATATCGGCTTGCAGTCTTGATCATAAAGATGCAAATGCTTCTGTTATGAAATTTTTATATGAATTCCTTCATTGTTCCCGAAATAATGATGTATGTATTTAGCTTTTAATATATTATTATTATTATTATTATTATTATTATTGTTATTGTAATTTGTAAATTTAATTTTAAAAAATTTATATTGCAGGACCGGTCAGATTTTACGATAAGAAGATCATTGGTCCAGAGTGTGTTGGCAGAAAAGGGACAAACACTAGTAACGAATCTTCTTCATGCAGCTGTATTTTCTTTAAGAACTTACATGCTGCAGGAAACTGTTGATGTTATTATTGAATTGACGTTAATTGATCAAACGGTAAGATTCTTTACTCATTAATAATTACAATAAATGATAAGTTACAAGGAATTTTATTTTAAGAATTAAAAAATTAATAATTTATATTATAGTGAACTATTGACATTTTTAAAGATATAAGCTCACCCCGATATTATACTCATTGAGACCTTTCATTTGAGTACCCATATCAATTTTTCATATATTTTATATATTTATATATATTACATATATGTATAGATCAAACATATATCATAAATGCATGTGGGTACTCAAATGAAAGCTCTTGATCAATATAACATTGGGATGAGCTTATATCTTTAAAAATATCAATAATTAAGAAATGACATTGTATTTTGTCAATTACTAACATTTTTAAAGATATAAGCTCACCCTGATAATATACTCATCAAGACCTTTCATTTGAGTACCCACATCAATTTTTCATATATTTTATATATTTATATATATTATATATATATATTACATATATGTATATATCAAAAATATATCAAAAATGCATGTGGGTACTCAAATGAAAGCTCTTGATCAATATAACATTGGGATGAGCTTATATCTTTAAAAATATCAATAATTAAGAAATGACATTGTATTTTGTCAATTACTAACATTTTTAAAGATATAAGCTTACCCTGATAATATACTTATCAAGACCTTTCATTTGAGTACCCACATCAATTTTTCATATATTTTATATATTTATATATATTATATATATTACATATATGTATATATCAAAAATATATAAAAAATGCATGTGGGTACTCAAATGAAAGCTCTTGATGAGTGTAAAATCAAGATGAGCTTATATCTTAAAAAACTTCAATATTTACGAAAGTACAGTGCAATTTAACAAAAGTCATTACTTAGTAAAGCAAAATTTTATTTAATTATAGTTCACAATTCACTAAATTATAAATTATTATTTTTAGTCAATGGCAAAGTGGTTAGAAGAAGCCATAAAATCAATGCCTACTCAAAATGCCCCAGGCTCTGTGACAGCAACTCCCGAACAACTCTACGAGTTCCACCGTACAATATTAAGGTAATTGCTTGTTATTAATTAACAATCATATAGATAATTAATTATTGATAATTAATAATTAATAACTCATAATTGAAACTAATATTTTACATTAATTTTATTTTCAGGAGTACAGACTCACCAAAAGCTGTGATGAATGCTGTGCGGTCGTTCGCACGATTGTTCCGTTAACCAATCAATAAATCAGTAATAGTAATAATAATAATAATAATAATAATAATAATAATAATAATAATGACGAATTAAAAAGGACTAAATGAATAAATGACAAATTTTATTAAATTGCGTTAATATCACGCAGCATAATTATACATTTATTTTTTATGTATAATTTTTAAAAATAATTACAAATTAAAAATAATTATTTTTTACACCCGAACAGTTAAAAAAAAAAAAATAAATATCTGACGCGTTTATTTTTTTAAGTGCAATTGTAAGTCAGATAATTAAATAACAATTTTAAAATTGTTTTTTAATTATACAATTTTTTTTACCAGTAAAAAAAAAGTATTTTTTTTTTTTAACTTTCTACCTTAATTTTGCTTTTTTATTAATTTTTTTGTCAAAAAAAAAAAAAAATTAATATGTAATTTAAATGTATTTAAATGAAATTTTAACAATACGCGCATGATATTATTTTTGTATCTATAATTAATTAGATACATAGAAAATTAATGTAATTTTTTTTTTTTTTTTTTTTTACACTTATATAAAAATTTTGACTGGAATTGACAATTAAGTTTCTTAAAAATTTTTAAAACTCTGACATTAAATATTTAAATAAGAGTTTAAATATCAAACATTTCAATGAATAATTAATAATTAAAAAAAATTAATAGTTTTAAAATTACTACCAAGATGTAATTACGTGAAAATATTCTTTTTAATTTTTAAACGGTTGGAATTTTAAAACTATTAATTTTTATTAATTTATTTACAATAATAAAAAAATAAATAAAATACAATCTAAGCTTTGAAAGCATTAAGACAATATTCTTGTAGATTAAAATACTGATAATGATAATAAACTTTTGTATATTGTGTAGAGAAAGAGTGTGTGGATGAAGCAATAATTGATTAAAAAAATGATGAAAAAAAAGTTGTGACAATTGTTATAAAAATAATTATTGAGATGTGTGAGCCTACTTTTGTGAAAAATGTCTAGGTAATTGTCAAGTTATTAATGCATTTGATACTTTAAGTAACAAATTTATTTCATGACAATTCATCTTGTAATTATTAACATCTAAAACATTATTATTATAATAATATAATATTAATTTAAGTGAAATAAACATCATTTTCTTATAATTAATTTTGATTAATAATTTTTTGATAAGTCACTATATTTTTTCAAAGTACATATATATCTTAAAAAATGTAAATAATTATAAAAAATGACTTTGTATCTTGAACACGATTGACATTTTTGAAGATATAAACTCATCCCGATGTTACATTCATCGAGACCTTTCATTTGAGTACCCACATTAATTTTTCATATATTTTATATATTTATATATATTATATATATGTATATATGAAAAATATATCAAAAATGCATGTGGGTACTCAAATGAAAGGTCTCGATAAGTGTAACATCAAGATGGGCCTATATCTTCAAAAATGTCAATAATTAAGAAATGACATTATATTCTGTTAACTATTGACATTTTTAAAGATATAAGCTCATCTTGACATTACACTTATCGAGACCTTTCATTTGAGTACCTACATCAATTTTTCATATATTTTATATATTTATATATATTATATATATGTATATAATATAATATATATAAAAAATGCCATGTGGGTACTCAAATGAAAGGTCTTGATGAGTGTAACATCAAGATGAGCTTATATCTTTAAAAACGTCAATAGTTAAAAAAGTACAGTGCAATTTGACAAAAGTCATTATTTAATAACGCAAAATTTCATTTCTTTATAGTTCACATAGTGACTGCAAGGTTGCTAGTTATTTTTTTATTGTTTAATAATTAAACAATTAATTATTATTATCATTCCAATTAACAGGTGCATCACATAGAAGCCAATTAGTTTTGAAAACAAGTTATCCCAGGAAATGGTTTGCAATCCTCAGCATTGACTCATCATCCTTTCCAGAGTGAGTCATCTTAAAAGCCCACCAAGAAGTCTTTGTGCAACCAATAACTAATACATCTATATATATATACATATCAACTTAAAGTATTTTATAGGAAGAAAGAGAAAGGATAAAGAAAAATAATATCCTTTCTTAACAATGGAATTTTACTGTCTCATAAATTAGAAAGGTTTTGATAGCCATTGCATTACACCGTTAAATATTTATTAAATCAATTAGCTTCGCTAAGTTAAGGGGGTATTACTCAAAAGTCTGGAAATAATAACAAAAAAAAAAAAAAAAAAAAAATTGAAAAAACTAAACAAGCATTAGCATATTTCAAAATTTATTTAAGACTTATTTTTGGTAATATAGATTACAATAGACATCTAAGCGTTATTGGCAATTTTTTATCTCAATTTTTAAAAAATAAATGACATTAAAGTTAGCTGTCACTTGAAAATTTTTTAATTTTATTTAACAAAAAGATTTGTTAAAAATAATTATTTTTTAAAAATTGCATTTTTATTTTTTTAAATTTTTCTATGTCAATTTTTTTTTTGCCATAATTAATTTGTTATAAAATTAAAAAATTTTAAAACGCGTTTTTCTTGAAACTGTCTTTTTTAAAACTCAACCCACGATATCTCAAGTTCTACTTAACAAAATTACTTGAAATTTGGTGTGAGTCTTCTATATAGACTTCTTTATCGCATGAACTATCCTCATCACTAAATTTCAATATTTATTATTTTAAAAAAATTTGGAAAACTTAAAAAAAGTGGTACAAAAATTAATTTTTTTTTCAGGCAGTTTTTTTTTGTGAAAAAAAATTTTTTTTAGTCAAATAAATAATCTTTTTTTTTTCAAAATTTTGAAACCTTCCATTTTATTAGCTGCTAATTTTTTGAATTTTGATTTTTTAAATATCAATAAATATCTTATAAAAAAAAATGAATATTAAAAATATTAAATTAAATATTAAATATTAATAATTAAATTATTATTAATTATTAATTATTAAAAATTAAATATTAAGAAAATAGGCGTCGCTGACTTAATCATCATGATAATGATGTAAATAATTAGTATCATGATCTGTCAGAAAAAATGAGTTAATTACATTAAATTTTTTAATATTGTAACTCAAAAAATAGTTTATAATTTTTTATAAAGAAATAGTTGGAGTGAGAGTACTTGATACTATTTTAAAAATGTTTTATATTGTTAGATAGAAGTTTGTTGAAGCCTTTTCTGCACCCTCCCAGCCGGCGACCAATAGCGCGTTGCCGAGCAACCAGACAGCCAGACAGCAGTCTGCCAATTCGTATACGGGTACGGGTAGAGTCTAAGGTATGGTGTGGTAGGGCAGGCAAAAAGGAATTGTGGAATGGGTGCAGTAGATTGGTGCTAGTCTAAGGGTAGTGTAAAGTCAATGCGTCTTGGCACCCACTACCAATATATATATAGATATATGTCTATGCTCTACATTGTATTGTAAATGGGATAAGATTTATTAGAGATTACTTGGATGTAATTTTTATTTTTATTTTTAAAATAAAAATTTTTAGAATCTTTGTTTTAACAAAACATGTTTTGAGTGATTCAATTTACAAATGGCTTTTTTTTAAATAAGAAAATTTATTAATTTTAACTAGCAACCTTGCATTTACTATGTAACTGCCGTAGTGAACTATAAATAAATAAAATTTTGCTTTATTAAATAATGAATTTTGATAAATTGCACTGTACTTTCTTAAATATTGACATTTTTAAAGATATAAACTCATCCTGATGTTACATTCATCAAAAGCTTTCATTTGAGTACCCACATGCATTTTCATATATTTTTCATATATACATATATATAATATATATAAATATATGAAAAATTGATGTGGGTACTCAAATGAAAGGTCTCGATGAGTGTAACAACAAGATGAGCTTATATCTTTAAAATTGTTAATAGGTCACGAAATACAAGGTCATTTCTTAAATATTGACATTTTTTAAGATATAAGCTCATCTCGATGTTACACACATCAAGACCTTTCATTTGAGTACCCACATGGCATTTTTTATATATTTTACATATATGGTATATGTGAAATATATATAATATATGAAATATATGAAAAATTGATGTGGGTACTCAAATGAAAGGTGTCGATGAGTGTAACGTCGGGGTGAATTTATATCTTTAAAAATGTCAATAGTTGACAAGATACAAGTTAATTTCTTAATTATTGAGATTTTTAAAGATAGTTACCGACCAAAGATAAAAATTTCTCGATCCAAGAGGTCACAATTCAAGGCAAAAAATAATTTAAGCAAGCCAACTATTGTCTTCTAAAAAATTTCTTTCTTACAAGAATATATTCTTGAAATGAATGAAATTCTGTCTTTTAAAATTTTAATTTTTATCCCAATCATTAAAAGTAACCCGCGTTATAAAAAGTAAAACCAATTAATGAGCAAATGTAATTTATTTTCCGTGTTTTCTCGATATAAAAGATTAAGTTAAGCAGATATATATATAAATTTACGAGGGATAAAAGCATCCGTTTGAATAACGGTCTCTTATTTTTGGTAAATCCCAACCCCTTAACTTATATCCAGGCTGGTTTAGTTAGGTTTTTACCCCCCACTATCTTCTACAACTCGTAAAGTGCATTTACTAGCAAGTAAACCGTATATACAGAGATCAGACAAGTCAGGACTATTATTTAGTGCGTTAAATCTTCCACAGTGGCTGATAATGTGGATAAACATCAGCATCAGACGGGGAATTATTGCACGGGCAATTGACCGATGATAATACGCAAGAGTTATGTTCGTGTTAAATCCAAGATTTTAACTATTTTTTTTTTTAACTCTTTCAATTGTAAATTCATAAAATAAGTACGTAAACTAATAAACGAGCAAAACTTTTAAAATATTTTTAATATCTGAGCTTATATCTTAAAAAATCTCAATATTTAAGAAATAACATTGCTATCTTGTCAACTATTGACATTTTTAAAGATATAAGCTCATCTTGACATTACACTCATCAAGACCTTTCATTTGAGTACC